ACGAAGTGCGCGTTTTTGTGAAGCACCTCAGGCTATATACTGTACTGGCCAGAATCGCGCCAAGACTCCAACGTCACGACATGGCCATCTCGCACGGGCTGCGCGAGCGCTGGTCATCCAGCGGGCATAGTCCTCAACAGCCTACATTACTAGTACAAAGCTCCCTGTACTGCTGTACTCACGTACATGACTGTGTAGCGTGTCATGTCATGTAGTTTCTACATTGTCAGTGTAGTGTAGGGTACTGTACGTCACTTCTACTAGTACTACATGTAGTACCAGGTGCAAGAGTGCATTATGCACTCTTGCTAGTACTAAGTACGTACAATAGTAAAGATTGGTGACAGTTAGCTGGATTCGCGGCCGCATCACCTGACGTGTTGAGGAACACATCAAGCGAATACATGTACATTCGCATCGGCGGGCCACCACTTCGCCCAATATAATTATTAATCCTCATTGTCGAATGCAGACCTCACAAGTGAGTCAGAGGAGAGGGTCTCTCAACAACCGGTTAACCGGGCGTGTAAAGACCCTATAACCCCATAAACCGCATCTTTGTTACTCTCAGTCTCACACCAAGCAAGTGGGTAAATGTACCCACTTCACGAAGTCTGACGTCACAGCTTCTTGACAACCGTAAACGCGTAGTTACTTGGCCAAGTGGTGACAAACAAAAGTCGCGTCACCTGCACTTGTCGTGTTTCCAGCATGCAGTGAACACAGCTACAGCATGGTTTTGACTGAGTAGCGCTATAGCGCGCGAGCAAGACTATTAATTTCTATTTCAAATAATTATTATCAGTGGGACCATTGTCATTAGGTTTAGGCCTGTTTTGGAACTCCACTTTAAACAAAGCCAAACAACAACAACAACAACAACAACAACAACAACAACAACAACAAATAAACTGCTTGGTGGGTAAGTACGTGGCGCCTACTAAAGCCGATCGCCTGAAACCATAAAGTAGCGGCAATGAACAGAAAGCTCTCGACCCCGCGTAGGATCTAAGAGTAAGACTAAGAGGGCATGCAGCCGTGCCTACGTCATCACTCAATGATCACGTACTAGACACCAGTCCTTAGTGACTTGTCAATGACTATGGGATGATGTAACCATGGCAACTACCCACGCCGACTATTCTGCTGATCATTACATTTACAGTGTGTGCGGTCTCTGCTGGATAATTGTTAGCCTCTCTGCAGACCAGAACATATTCCCGCGCCACTGTTGTATTGCTACTAGCGCAGACTCAGTAGGTCATTTTATCGGCCACCCATGGCCATGCCACTGGAAAATCGTGCATTAATTAAAGGGGAAGTGCATCGATTTTTTCGAGTATGGTCCAGAAGAAAGACAATTTGATATCGGTTCGAATGGCATATCTCTCGCTTTCATACGATAAGCCAAACTTGCCAAACTGCACTGCACGCTTAGTACTCTACTTTCTTTCACTTTGTTTGGTGGCTCGCCAAAATTCTTAAACTATCACCTAGTTAGAAAATTAATGTTAGCAGCTTGTGATTGGATTTCTCACCTGCCATTTTCTTGGAACCCCTGGCACTGTGTACTGTTGCTGGAGAATTGTAACTTCCCATTCTCACACTTTGCCCATAATCTTGCGCCCATGTTTTTTTTGGTAGTATAAATCTGACCATCTCCACCTGATATCATCCTATTCAATATCACCTTCTCTGATGAGCCTTATGAAGGCGGAACAGCTGTCAGGAGGAATTGCAGTATCTACCTGCAACCCTTCCTTGGTTGGTGTGTGTAATGGCTACCGAGGGTAGCAGTGAGTCGGCTGTGAGAGCGCATGGAGGGGAGGAGAGGAAGAGTTCCTTAAATTTTATTGGCCGAATAGTACCGTTCACCATTTGAAATACGTACTAGTATTGCATTATCTAATACTAGGGTCCAGCGGATAATGCTCCGAAAATGTTCGTATAATGCTAATCATCATGCTCCAAAAACTGCCTTGTAATGCTAATTATAATGCTTCAACAAGGGCTATAATGCTCTTGGTTTGGAACAAAAATGGAAGAAAGGCTGCACATTGTCAAACTTCCAGGAAAGGACGTATTTAGTCGATCTGCCTCTGACGCTGCTACACTTCTTAGCACTATAAGACATGATCGCGTCTCCATTGGCTGCTCTCCATTGCAACTTTGATGCAGGGCTGTGGCTCCGTAGTGGGTGTATCAAATCCTTTCCCTTGCTTATCCGTGTAGTGAGAGGTGAAACCATTATTGCTGGTGATCATTTGGATGCAGGAAGCATATCAGTAGAAGTAGTATTCCTGCCTGCAGACAAGCTGTCACTGCTTCCACTCTGTGAAAAATGTCTTCATCTGAAACAGCTCACGTGAGGCCAGTGGAGAGACGATCTCAGATCGAGATCCCTCCCATTTGCGGAAATCCTGAAAACACTTGGTCAGAAGTTATTTCGCCGCTCTACATCCTCTGCTTGCGCTGTCTTCTTCTCCTGAGGTTGCAAATGGTTGGCCACAATACTCTTCTTTTCTGATAGCACCTGACTGTAGGCCTTGCATTCAAATCGTCCACGACGAACTGTACGTGCTTCACCAGGAAAGTTAGACACGCGCTCCTGAGCACTCAAATCGACTTGGTACTGCGTCCATGAGAAATTCTAGTTCTTTTCGAGCCTGCTGACCTGGACTCGGCAAAGGCAGTTATTTCGAACACGCTCTTTCTGTTTATAGCCGCTCCTTCATCCAGGTCCAAATTAAATCTATCGATACATCAGTGTTTTCTTCAGTATCGATAGAGATGCTATGGCCAGAGCCTATGGCATAACAGGGAAACTCCTCTTCGTCTCTTTGATATTCATTTCGCGTACGTCTAGTCTCCTCCATGGCTCTCCATGCTTTCTAAAAAGAACTGCTCGTAAATCATCGTTACGGGTTTTGTGTAACAGCCTCAGTTGCACGTTGGGCATGCTACAGCACCTGTACATTTACCTGACTGCATTGCAACATGAAGACTTTATGTAGCAACTAGCAGCACCACCGGCCAGCGTTGCCTGGCCGAATGTGGCATGCGGGTGAAGCAATTAACGCGCAAGTACATGAACAGCACACGTGCTCAGCACGTGGTGGTGGCCAGACCGCTGAAGTCCTGGTGAGGGAGGTTCTTCATCGTTGGAAGGAGAAGGAGGGACGTCTGTTACGCCTTCGGGAGGCCAGGGTTGTCCATCACCTGGTGGCGGATGAAACGGCTCAAAAAATTCATAAACTTACGAACAAAAGTGCGATGCGCTCTTCACTGCAGATCAGATGCAGAGTGCGGTCAGTGCAGATCTTTTGTATCCTTTTGTTGCAGATGTTTCTATTTGCAGAGAACGGTTCACGTGGTCCGCAGCGCTTGTGCGGCTGCTAGTGCTACCTATGGCCTAGGCTAGGTGGCTATACATGATTCGCACGCTTCGCGTGCTCAGTGATTCTGCGCGCGGCTGCTACTGCTACTCGTACTGATCGTGTCTGCTACCACCTACACTGTTCGCACGCTTCGCGTGCTCAGCACGTGGGGTGGCTACACGATTCGCACGCTTCGCGTGCTCAGTGCTTCTGTGGCTGCTTCCGCTAGCTACACGATTCGCACACTTAGTCTTTGCCGTTTGCGTGCTCAGTGCTTCTGCGGCCGCTAGCTACACTGTGCTACACTGTTCGCACGCTTCGCGTGCTCAGGGCAGCGTGACACAAAAACACACGTCACAGGTGCCTCTTCTTTATAAGGAGCGTGACACACACACACACACACACACACACACACACACACACACACACACACACACACAGACACACGTCACAGGTGCCTCTTCTTTATAAGTAAAGATGGCATTACATGTATGTAGTCAGGTAAATGTAGCATTAGTGCTAAAGGTGTTCCATGTCTACAAATCACAAAGTCATGTGTCGGTACAATACACTGTGGCGTTGCACCTCATGGCTTTAGCCGATTGTTGCCAAAAACTTGATATTTCCCGACATTATCCACTATGAAACTCGCTATGCTGCTCAAACCTCACATAATGCTCGTCTTGTTCCTTTCTAATGCTCCATAATGCTCTGATGCTCGGATAGTCTCATAATGGCGAATATAATGCCGGCATTATCCGCTGAACCCTATCTAATACCATACACTGTACATGGACCTACATGTACATGTATATGCTAAGCAACAGTATACTGCAGTGTTGCCACAGTGTTGCCTATTTCCGCTGCTTTTCTGCTTGTCACAAGTTTTGGCATCATTATATGCACACGAACTGGCTCATTTTGAGTTGCGGTATCAGCAACATTTGAGCTTTTTCTGAAAAATTAATAGCGATGAGATTTCAGCATGAAGTTGGTTGCTCCAACGAGGAGCACACGCTTCTTGCCGAACTTGACACTTGACTGACTCACGACTGCCATCCGGAGCACACCAGGAGCACGTCGCACCTTCCGCTCGGCAAACCTGAAAGAAAGCACCACTCCCTGCTCAATACACAGTGTTTCGGGGAATTCACCCCTCATCAGTTGAGCTTGAGTAGGCTGAGGAAGATTGTGCCTTAAAAGCACCACTTATATACTGCTCTCCAGGCCAAACCATCACCAGGGATACAAACTTACAGAGACGCTTTGTTTCCAGCGCGACAAACACCTCGTGAAGCCCCAGGTAGCAGCGTGAGTCAGAGTCGCTGATGGAGTTGTGCTAAACAGACGTTGAGAGCCAGTATAGCTATTCACAACGCTGTCACCTCCAACAACTAGTCGCACGTCCGCGTGAGGGACAACAATACGAACTTAGAAGTTGCGACTTCGGCGGTAATGTCATGAAGTTGGTTGCTCCAACGAGGAGCACACGCTTCTTGCCGAACTTGACACTTGACTGACTCACGACTCAGCCTACTCAAGCTCAACTGATGAGGGGTGAATTCCCCGAAACACTGTGTATTGAGCAGGGAGTGGTGCTTTCTTTCAGGTTTGCCGAGCGGA